GCTTCTCCCTCTCCCACTCCCCCTGCTTGTGTTCCTGCTCTCGCTGTGTCTCTCTCTGTCAAAAAAATAAATAAAATCTTTAAAAAAAAAAAAAATGGCTTATGGACCCTTGACTTTCCCCTACTTCTCCCAGTTTTCTGCAGTTTCTCATGTTATCTCTGGTTATGTTGTATCCCCGTACTCCCTCTCCCCCCTTCAGGGCGGGGTTCCATAGGGCTCAGGAGAAGGTGGTCTGATGCTGGGGCCTCAGGGTCCCACCAAGGATGGACCATTAAAAACTGCAGAAAACTGCTCCCTCCCCACAACCCTTCCCCTGCCCTGGTCACAAGGGCCAGATTCCCGACCTCTTTCTCTCCTTTTCCACAGATGTGCCCTCATGGCTGAAAAGCCTCCGCTTGCACAAGTACGCGGCCCTCTTCTCACAGATGAGCTACGAGGAGATGATGACGCTGACTGAGCAGCATCTGGAGTCTCAGGTGACGCCAAGGGGACCATCAGGGAGGTGTCATGGGCAGCACCATTTTGACGTCACCCTTGTGGCCCCAGCCTCTGATGTCTCTTCAGGCCTTGTTGGGGCACCCCAAGTACCTCAGCCTCACATTTCCAGCTTCCTATCCCTTTCTGCCCCTACCACAGAATGTCACCAAAGGTGCCCGCCACAAGATAGCCCTGAGCATCCAGAAGCTGCGTGAGAGGCAGAGCGTCCTCAAGTCCCTGGAGAAGGTGAGGACCTGGTACTCCCATCTCCAAGGCCAGCTGACTGCCCAGTGGCTCTGGGTGGCCTCCCCTGCGGGCTTCCCCAGCCCTCAGGTCTGACCTCCAGAGGCCCCAGCCCTAGGGAGGCCAAGAGCAAGTCAGATCACAGGGTTCGCCTGCCCGTGGCTGAGAGGCTCCCCTCCCTTTCTGTCCTGGTCTGTGCCTCCAGACTTTGTCTCTGTTGACTCAATCCCCGCTGTCCCCTTTCACTTTTTCATTTCTGACTGGTGTTTCCCATGGAGCCAAATGTCTCCCTGTGTGCATGATCTCTCTTTCTATTGGTGGTTTCTCATTCACTCACTCTTTTCATATCTGCCTTGATTTGCATTCCTTTTCCCCTTTCCTTGCCACTTGCTTTCTGGTTCCATCCTTGGTGGGACCCTGAGGCCCCAGCATCAGACCACCTTCTCCTGAGCCCCATGGAATTCCACTTTGAAGGGGGGAAGGCGGGAGTACGTGTCTACAAATGTGTACATACATGTGTGTATATGTGAGCTTGTCTTGTCCTTTCCTGCCTTCTCTAAGTGCTAGGACTCAAGCTTCCACCAGCCCTCTCCAAGCTCTGTCTGATCCCACTTGTGCAGTCATTCTATGTAGCTGTGGGGGTCAGCATGTGACCCAAGATGTGTCCTCCCTACTCAGGATGTGCTGGAAGGTGGGAATCTGCGCAACGCTCTGCAGGAGCTGCAGCAGATAATCATCACCCCCATCAAGGCCTACAGCGTCCTCCAGGCCACCGTGGCTGCTGCCGCCGCCACCACCCCTACTGCCAAGGATGGGAGCCGGGGGGAGCCACCACTGCCAGGTGCTGAGCCTCCCCTGGCTCACCCCGGCACAGACAAGGGCACTGAGGCCAAGGACCCTCCAGCTGCAGAGAGCTACCCCCCTCCACCAGCTCCAGCTCCCACTGATGGCAGTGAACCAGCCCCGGCTCCCGTCGCCGACGGAGACATCCCCAGCCAGTTTACACGGGTGATGGGCAAAGGTGAGACCAGGCAAGGCCCAGCAAGAAGTTCTGGGACAGGGAGCCAAGTGAACCCAGTCATCAGGGATCAAATCCAAGTTAAATGATGGGAGCAGAGCTTTTTAAAGTACCCTGGGGACTAGATCACTTCAGAGAGTGGCTGAGACTGAGAGTAGTAAGGCCCTGCCCTCAGGTATGTCCTGGTTGATGGTGGGAGACAACCCTTACTTACCCGCACAGTGTCTCTAGCCTGAGCAGAAGGGGGAACAGTGTGTCAGTGGAAATTGTGTACAGTATGAGGCAAATCCATTGGTTCTTTCACGGGGGACTAAAGTCCACAGGATGGGGATGGTGAAACTCATAGTGGGCTTGGCCTTTCCTAAGGCATAATGGCATAGCCGACTTTACACTTGGGTCCATATCCTTTTAGCTGTGTGACCTGGGGCAAGTGATTCCACCTCTCTGAGCCACTATGGTGGGCTTTATATATCCTCATGATAGCCAGGTACTGTGCTTCGCACACAGCCAGAACGCATCCAGCCTGAGTGTCCTCTTCCAACTTTTGTGCTGGCCAGCAGGGGCCGAGGGAGCTAGAGCATGGCACAGGACATGCTGGGGCTAACTTCTTCCCTCTCCCTTGTCCCTCAGTGTGCACCCAGCTGCTGGTGTCCCGACCAGACGAGGAGAACATCACCAGTTACCTCCAGCTCATTGAAAAGTGCCTGACTCATGAGGTGAGGCCTTCTCTAGGGTCCCAAGAAGGGAAAGGCTGCCCCCATCGCTCTCAGCATCCACATTCCTCACGTGGCCCTCAGGGCCCTGCCCAGCTGGCACCCATTCAGCATCTCCAGCCCTCATCCCACCAGTGTTGGCTCCAGTGGCTGCTGTGAGCACTCCTTCTCAGAACCTTACTACATATTCCTTCTCTGGGGAGCCTTACTACATATTCCTTAATAATATAACATTCTTGGGCCATAGATTCATCAGTTACTGGGGATAGGATGCACTGCCGATGGGGCCTGTAATACTGGAACATAAGAAATATATATTTGATCGTCCCTCCCTCCTGCTGGTCCCTCGGCAACTCAGTTCGAACGAGTACACCTCAGGGATGCCTTCACTGGCCCCTCATAGCAGATCAGGCTTCTCACGCCTCCTGGGCTTCTCCCTCACGGTGCTCATCACAGTTCAGATGGCCCGCGTATCTTCTCCCCAGCTGAACCGTGAGCTCTGTGTGTACAGGTTTATCTCTGCACCCCAGCATTGCCTAGCACAGAGCAGGCAGGCACAGGTGGATGAATGGAAGGCAGATCTGAAAGCACACCCTCCCTGCTTCATGCTCCCAATTCTAGGCGTTCACGGAGACGCAGAAGAAACGGCTGCTGTCCTGGAAGCAGCAAGTGCTGAAACTCCTCCGGACCTTCCCGCGCAAAGCCGCACTAGAGATGCAGAACTACCGACAGCAGAAAGGGTGAGCGGGCAGCCGGGCCGTGGGGACCTTCCCTCCCGAGGCCCTTGGTGCTGGACAAGTGGTGCTCAGTGGGCTGATCGCGTTCTGGGCTGGGAATTGGTTGTGCTTGTTCAATCACTGGGTGACCTTCCACAAGTCACCCTGTGAAGACTTTCCCAGAAGAAAATCAGGGTGTTCTTACCACTAGAACAGGGTACTGAGCTGGCAGAAGCAACACCTGTCCCGTGTTCTCCTCCCCTGTGTGCAGGGGGCTGTGAAGTCCCTTTTCTCCCCAAATACTAAATACCGCATTTGAGAATTCAAGTTAGAACTGCTGTAAGTGGATGTGAGGAAACCTTTGTCCGCTCCCATCTCCATCCTGGGGGTACCTTGGGACAGGAGTACAGAGTGTGTGATACAAGGACTTGGGCAGGGAGTCCTTGTTCAGAGCAGGTCTGTGTTCTGTCCTTCCCATGGGGATTATGACGGGAGAGGTGAGGAAGGGGCGGACAGAGGGGCCCCAACCACCTCAACTGACACCGTGCCTTCTACTCTCTCACAGCTGGGCGTTCGGCTCCAACTCACTTCCCATAGCTGGCTCTGTGGGGATGGGGGTGGCCCGGCGGACCCAGCGGCAGTTCCCCATGCCTCCCCGGGCCCTCCCACCCGGCAGGATGGGCCTTCTGAGCCCTTCAGGCATTGGGGGCATCTCCCCCCGACATGCCCTCACTAGCCCCAGCCTTGGGGGCCAGGGCCGACAGGTGAGCCAGCGGGAAGCGGAGGGCCTGGCACTTCTGGGATTGGGGTGGTGGTGCCTGGGCTGTGCGTGTCCATGTGTTTGCACCTGGGCCTGGCTCAGAGGGGAGAAGCTCCTTTGCCAGCTCCACCGAGCCTGGGCTTGGGCCTCGGGCTTTGGCCTCTTCCCGCTCAGCTCACCACTTTTCTCTTGCCCTGTGCCCTGTGCAGAACCTGTGGTTTGCCAACCCCGGAGGCAGCAACAGCATGCCCAGCCAGAGCCGCAGCTCTGTGCAGCGCACCCACTCCCTCCCGGTCCATTCTTCGCCCCAGGCCATTCTCATGTTCCCTCCAGGTAAGCTGCCCCCACCCTTGGGGCTCCGCCTCGGCAATACTCTTAGGTGGCCCTCCTCTCAGTCCCATTCCCACTATCCCCTCCTTCTACCTCCCACCACTCTGCACCCATCTTCAACACATCCTGAGTTTTCTTTTACCCCCCACTCCCCCACTTCTGTTTTCTTTCTCTGATTCTGCTGCTTTCTCTGTCTTCTCTCTTCCCTTCTCCCAGCCCTACCTCTCCACACCTCTCCCTCCCTGTGTTCACAGTCTTAGTGTCCCTGTTGGTCTTCGTCACCATTTCCTTAGAGGATCATTAAATACTCAGTTTGGAAGGGGTGGAGGGGACGAGACAGTCAAAGCATCGAGGTTTCTATGGAGGGGAGTCCTGCCTGTCAGTCCCCTGGGATTCTTTCAGGCAGGAACCAGAGACTTCAGTTCTTAGATCGGGTTCCACACTAAAGGGTCTATGAGGTGAGACGGCTGTTTTCCTTCAGCTCACAGACCAGTCTAGAGATGAGAGATCAGAATGAGGGTGAAGTGGGCAAAAGGGAGGTTAGAGAAACGCTAGCCCTGCCTTGCTCGTTCAGTGGGGGTGTCCCCTGCCCTGGGCCCAGCCTGCTGCTGGCCACTGAGGCTGCAGAGGCAGAGAAGGCTGGTCTGGAAAGGGCTGCCTCTGGAGAGATCTTCAATTTGTGGGTGATGGGGCGCCTGGCTGGCTCATCAGTAGAGCATGCAACTCTTGGTCTCAGGGTTATGAGTTCAACCCCCATGTTGGAGGTAGAGTTTTACTTAAAAAAATTTTTTTAATTAGATTTGCAGGTGACCCTAAGCTCTTCATGACATAAACTGCCAAATCAGTGGGTTTCTTAACTTACGAGATTATGTGAACTGCCATCTGTCAGAGGCAGAGGACCCTGTCCATTGTGTCCATCCTAGCGTAGGGCTTGGCACATGGTAGGCATCTGTACCTGATGTAAATGACTGGATGGATGAACTGCGTGAGCAAAAAATTGAACAGTTCTTTCTACTGGCGTGCTGTGTGCTGAACTGTGTCCGATGGCTTTCCATGCTGTCAAATCAGATCCTCCCAGCTGCATACATGAGGGCGCTGGTGTTATTCCCATCATATCAGTCATGAATCTGAGACTCAAGTGACTCGCCCCAGGTCAAAAAAAATATTTGCTAAGAAGAGAGAATTAGGTGTCCCGACATGGCCTGAGCTCAGAGTTCATTAGGGATGTGATGACAGGTGAGTCTGGAGGTGGGAGCAGGGTCTTCTGAACTCAGGTAGAAAGCTCAGCCTTTCTCCCCATAGCAGTGAGGGGCCAAGGAAGGGGTTTTAAGCAGTGTGGGGTGGGGTCAGGTCTGCTCAGGGAGGTGGGCTGTTTCCCAGACACCAGAACAAGAGGCCCTTGAGAGATGGTTTGAGGACAAGCCCCATGGCTGCTGTCCTAATTTGCCCCATCTGCCAGGCCTGCCCGGGGGAGCAAGTCCAAGTGGGGACGGGAAGGGTTCTAATTAAGCTTCTGCACCAAGTACAGAGCAGGTCATCAGTCAAGGAGTTCGGGGCTGCCCAGTGCCTGGGGCTGGTGCCCAGACCGCGCCTAAGGCAACATGCAGCGTGTGGCCTCCAGGAAGCTCCCTCAGCTTCCCATCACTTCCTCGGCCTGCTGGTCAGGCTTTCTTTTCCTTGCTAAGCCTCTGCCCTTGCCATTATTGCCTCTGCCCTGCTCTGTGAGACACCCAGGCTCGTCTGTATTCTCCAGCCCTGCCCCGTCATCCTTCCGTGGGAGCGTGTGCCATGTCTTACATGTGGTTTCTCTGTCTCTTGCCTCTCTCCCTCCCTCCTTTTCCTCGTAGCCCTCTCAGCCCCTCCCCCACACCAGCCCATCCAGTCCTTTGTCTCCCGGGTTCTGCTTTCCGCACTCAGTTCAGCCCTTGCTTCTGTTCTCTCTCCCCCTCAGACTGCCCGGTCCCTGGGCCTGACCTGGAGATCAATCCCACTCTGGAGTCTCTGTGTCTGAGCATGACAGAACACGCCTTGGGTGGTGAGCATTTCCTCTTTCCCTGACCCAGCTCCCACCTACCCAGCAGCGTCTCCGCCTCTGAACTGAGCAACTCAGAGCATCCTGAGGGGTCCCTAGGGGAGGCCAGCCTCCAGGGAGGGCCTGACTGGGATGACAGGCTACCCGAGCGCCTTTTCTTGGGCCTCCCGCCAGTTCCTGATCTTCCTCCCTTCCTCCCTTTCTTACCACAGATGGGACAGACAAAACCTCCACCATCTGACGGGACCCACAGCCCAGCGCACCCATAGGCTCCCTGGGCGGCGGGCGGGGGCCAACCCCCAACGGGCTTCTCCGCGACAGCAAGAGGGTGGGCTGGCTCAGCTATACATTCTAGTATTTTTCTACTCTCTCACCCTTTTAACTTTTGTTTAACATTGGCACACGCCTTGCTCACTCCCATGCCCGTCGAGGGATCTCTGCTGAGGCTCAGGGAGGTAGGGGGCAGCCAGGATAAAGAGGGCAGGGACTGGCCAGCCTGACTGCCCCTCCTTCCCTCCCTCATCCCCCACCTGGCCCCGTCCCACCCCTGCCTCCTCCAGACTGCCGGCCACCTGCCCCTCCTAAGGGAGCAGCTTACCCCTATCTTGTGGGACCTGCTCAGAACCATCTGACATTTGGGGAGAGAGAAGCAGGGTTGATAACCTGCTCTCCTGGATGTTATTTGAGAGGAGCTAAAGAGAAGGTGGTAGATGAGGAGAGGAGCCTGCCTCTCTCTCTTTCCTTGCCACCTTCTTCTCCTTCCCCATTCCCACCATTCCCCGAGGACAGGAGCCACCCTCCTTTCACTCACCTCCTTTTGCCCTGTTTATCAGAGGTTCTCTACAATTAATTTCTTAGGCCTATTTAAGATGCATATTTATATAGTTCCTAACGGTTTTTCTCTCTGATCATTCCCTCTCATTTTTAGAATCCCCAGGCCTCTCTCTGAGCCAAGAAAGTGGCAGGGGGAGCCTGAATTTTACGAGGGGAGAGGGCAGAGCCCCCTCCTCCCAGACCCCCTCGCCCTTCCCCACTTCCCCCCAGTCCTGGCTCCCCAGAGGCAGAGGTTGAAGGCAGGGAGCCAGGGCAGCCAGTGAGGTCAGGAAGTCTGTTGCCTTAACATCCCCTTCCCACAACCAACATACACCCTTGTCCACTCCCAGGTCTGGTTGCTGAAAGACTTGGGGTAAGGAATAAGGGAAAGGGGATTGTTTGGTTTTTGGTTTCTTTCCCCACCCCTCTTTTCTTTCATCCTTCCCCACCCCCCATTCTGTCATGACCTCACTTAAGTGGAACACTATATCATAACCCAGAGATTTGTCCCAGCCGTGGAGTCATACAGACCCTCTGGTCTCTGTTCCTGCTGAGGGGTTGTGCTGGGGCCCAGGTGGAGGGAGGGGACTTGGGGGTTCAGGCTGTGGGGAAGCCAGGGTCCCCTATCCCAACCCCCTCTTCCCACTCAACCCACCCACCCCCCACTGGGACATTCTCAAGCTTTTCACACCGAAAAGGAAAAAAAAAATGTTATTTTTAGATACATTTTATGAATAACTTTTGTTATGAATATGGCTGGTAACCATTGTGTATGTTATTAAAGATACAAAATGTTGGGAAAAAACAAAAAACCAAAAAAAAAAAATTTTAAAACCACCGCCCTCCCTGCACTCTCAGCCCATTCCCCAGACCTTCTTGCCTCTGCCCTCCTGGTCTGGACCTCCCTCAGCTCTGAGCCCAGGGAGGGGGAGGAAGCCAGAGGGTGGGGTGGCCCTGGGGATCTGCTAAGGTCCCCACCTCCTCTCCCAGTGCCGGGCTGGGTGGGGTGTCAGGTTTATTTATGTACCTCTTGCACACTCATCAACCTATGCAAGTCCCCCACCCCGGCCCCTCCATGTTTCTGTGCCTTTGCTCATTCCCCTCAAGCTCCCAGGGCTTCTCCAGTCCCCCTCCCAGTAGCCCCGGGAAGTGGGATGGACAGGGGCCACCTCGTTTGGAATCAGCAGGGTGTCCCTCTTACAGGACCCTCACCACCTCCCAGCCAGTCCTGTCTTCTTCACTACCCTTCAGGGTGAGCTGGCTCTGCCTGGCATTGGGAGGTGGTGAGGGACACCCCCCCCACACACACACACAATGGGAGGCAAGAGCTGCCCCCCTCCCCCCACCTGACAGCAGAGTGTGCAGGACGCAGGCGGCCCCACTCTGATGGGCAGGACCCTGACCCTCTTCTGCCCCAGCCCCTCCCCAGCCCCCTCTCCCCCACCATGATTTCACCCTCCCTCCTATCCCCAGCCCCACTGGCAGAATCAGCTTTGAGTAACTGTACAGTTTTTCTCGCTGTTGGAGAAGACTTACTTGTTGGAGTTTCACTTGTTTAATGGTCTGGGCTTATTTTGGAAAAAAAAAAAAAAAAAACAAGAAACAAAAACAAAAAAGGATTCTGACCTTTGTTATGCTACACTTCATGGAAAACCTAGCGGCCTTAAGCTGAGGCCACTGAGCTCCTGGGTTGGGGGGAAAGGAGAGGTATAAAGCGAATGAGACCATAGGGCTGGGACGAGACGTAAAGGGAAAAAAGTCGGCTTTATTAACAGCAAGGCTTGGAGGAGACGAAGGAAACAAAGGGAAGGGCTCGCAAACAGACCACTCGAAAAGTGCCTTCCTGCGCGTAATAATCGCATTATAATCATGTCTGCACCAACCCTGAAGGACCTGGGACTCAGTCACTGTCACTGTCAGCTTCACTGGAATCGGAAGCTGCAGCTTCACTGCCATCCTCCTGGGCGGAGTGCTCACTGCCACTGGGGAAGGGACTAGCACTGCGGCTCCGGCTCCGCTGGCCACCCCCATCACTGCCACTGTCCGAATCATTGTCACTGCCACGGGCCTGGCCTCTGTCCTCATCATCAGAATCCACATCGTCTTCCGAATCTGCATCACTGCCAAAGATCTCCTCTTTGTCCCGAGCGGCCCGGGCCTCGTCCTCGCTGCTCTCATCCTCGCCGCTACCACTCTTGTCACTCGCCTCATCCCTGTCACCCTCTTCACGTTCACTCTCGCTGCCCGAGCGCTCATCCTCGCTGCCTTCCTTCTCACTGCTGCTGCCTTTCTCTCGCTCCTCATCTGTAAGGGAGCAGGGAGAAGTGAGACCCAGTTTCCCACCCTTCCAGAGCTCCTGGGATTTGGCCTGTCCAGCTTTACCTGAGCCCCCAGCTTCTTTCTCTTCTGTCTCCATCTCTTCTTCCTCTTCCTCCTCGGGTTCATGGTTCTCCAACTGGGCCTTCCGTGCCTCCTACAAGCGGCAGGGTTGAGGGGAAGGAGGGTGTACTGTCAGGCTTCTCTCTCCTCACCCACCCCCACCCTCTCCATGGGTGCCCTGGGCCAGTGAGGTTTGTTACCTGGGCTTCTAATTCCTTCTCATTCATGTCCCGGTGTTTGACCACAAGCAGGGCATTGGTGCCAGACTGAACCCCAGCCTTTGCCCGACGTTTACTCAGGCGGACCCTGCAGTGGGCAGGTTGGTGGGGAGGGATGTGTGGAAGATGCATTTAAAGACCCCAGCGGGGGATCTACTCTGACTTGGTTCTTACTTCCTCACCAATGCTTACTCCAGAACAGACCAGAATAAATGCAGGTTGAATGAAGGAGACTAAAGTCAGAGGTTGGATAAGGGAAAGGGAAGGATAATAGCTCCATGAGTCGCATGTATTTATAAAATGTACACACACACACGTGTTAGGTGTATGTAACAGATTTAAGGTGAATTAGCAACACTTAAAAGCACAGAATCTAGATTGCTGGCTTTTGGAAAATGTTAATTTGTGGCTCCACTGGGACTTTTCCTTCCCATAGAATAGCAACAATAGATTGGAGCCCTTTGCTGGGCTAGGTCATGGTGCCCCTTGGAGGCTGCCAAGAGCTCCAAGTCACCCAGAGCCCACCAGCCCACAGTGCTACCTTTTACATGGGATCAGAGTTTGTGATGTCTGCTTTAAACAAACTCAAAGTCACACTTTCTTTCCCAACCCTTACACTGCATCAAGGTCCCTAGCACAGGAGTAAACTTCTAGCTCTCAGGAGAAAGTTTGTGGGGATCACCTTTTTTAACTCGGGTATCCAGGATTTCATTTAAAATATTTATGCTAATTTGATGTATTACTCTGTATTTCACCTATGTTGACTTTCACATAAAGTCTCTTATTACATCAGTGGGAACTTGGCTATTCACCCTACAAAATAGCTCAATCTCGAGATTTTTTTCCTGGGTTCGTGCGTTAGAACCAGGTCCAGCTCACATGCTCAAGCAAGCTTCTGCTATTCTTGTTTGAAATGCCTCCAAGGCCTCCAAATGACCTCCACGGTAGTTCCCACGTACCTTAGGATCAGGATTCTAAAGCACAGACCCAGGGTAATCTGAGGTAGGAGTGTACCAAGTACCTGGTCTCCAGTTCATTGTAGTAAACCCCGTCACCCTCTCGGAAGATGAAGAAGTAGTTCTCCTCGTAGCCCTTGCTAGCTTTGTTCTTCACATTCCAGTTGTACTCCCGAGCAATCTTGTAGTCATACCTGATGAGGATGAGGGGAACAAGGTCAGCACCCCCATTTCTTTCTTATGAGGGAGAAAAGAGAGACCCAGTCCTCAATTCCCAAAACCTAACCCCAACCCACGCACACATCATCCGGTGCATAGTCCATCTCCTCCTCCTGGTCCCGCTTTCGTTTCTTCAGCGTCTCTTCCACAGGCAGGAAATAGGCCACAAACTGGTTCCCTTCCTCATCCATCATGCCTCTGAATGAGAGAAGAGGAGGAAGAGTGAAGAGTGAGGACAAAGGAGCAGTGAGGAACAGGCCAAGGTGGGCAGTGGGGCCACTTACTTACCTGATCATGGCCTGAGACATCATCTCCAAAGCAGCTGCACCACTCGTGTCCTTGGGGGCTGGGTCTGAGTCAAAAATTACCTGAGCACATGGGTTGATCCACATCTAGGGGCAAGAGCGCTGGGATTAGACTGGGACAAGCAGAGATGGCAGGCTATCCCTTGCTGCCTCCTGCCCTGGATCTGACCTTAAAGTCTGGGAAGACAGGCATGACCTCCACTGGTGTCACTCGGGGCTTGCTGTAATGCTGGGAGATCTGGTAGGGGCAAAAACAGGGTGGGTGAGGAGGAATGTGGAGCTCTGGAACTGCACCTTGGTCTGCCCCCAACCCCCATCCCATCCCAGTCCTTCAAATACCGATTTCTGGGCATCCTCAAAAGTTTTCTCAATGGCCGTGATCTGGCTATCCCTGTCTTTGTATATTTCTTCCTCCGTGAACTGCTGCTTCACAGAAACCCCAATCCTAGGAGTAAAGAGAGAGGCCTTTAGGGATCACTGGACACACCTGAAATCTCCACATTCCCTCCCTACCCACCACAACTTACTTGACCTCAGGCTTCTCATTGGAGATGCCATAACGATTGAACTCAGTGGAGATGTACTCAGTCTTCCGCATCCACGGCACCACCTTCGCATGCTGCTGGGATCTGGGGGTAAAGTATTAGGCACCTAGGATCCACCACCCTCCTTCCATCATAGATTCCCCCCACTGCCCCATCTCCAATCCCCACTCAGCACACTCTCACCTCTTGGAGCTTGTGGGGGCCTGAATCTCCTCTTCCAAAAGCTTCTCATCAGCTGGATCTAGGAGTACTAGAGGAGAACAAAGGGGTAGGAAGACTATGAGGGCTGTGAGGGAGGGCCTGGCCTTTGCTGGCCTAGAGCAGGCCCTCCCTGCCTTCCCACACACCGTTGGGGTCGATGCGGTAGGTATCGGGGTTGATGAGATCAATGGTGACCCCCAGGTCTGGCTCAGTGAGGAGGTCGTGTTTGTGCTGTTTTTCCAAGGAAGTTGCTTTGTACTGGACGAACCTGGGTGGGGAAACATACCCATTATGTTTTCCTGATTCCAGCTTTACCCCTCACATTCCTGCTTCCCAGAACCTAAGCTTTTCCAGGGAGGAACTCAAAATGGGAGTGTCCCCCATGTTGGGAGTCAGAAGGCTGGCTCTTCAGTGGGAAAAGACTAGGACACTGCTTGTTTCATTCGTTAACAAATATTTATGGAGCACCTACTACCATATTGCTAGGTACTGTTCTAGGCCCTGAGATGAGAGCAGTCAACAAAAGAAGCAATCCTTGCCCTCAAGGAACTCATGATCTGAGTTGTTTCGCCCTCCTCCATCTCAGTCTCACCTGTTTTGGTCAAAGGGGTAGGTGATGAACTTGGGGTCGAAGGGAATGTCCGGGAGGCTATTGCAGTACTTGACTCGGCAGACCACTCCTGACCTGGGAATACAGTGGCTCAAAACCCAGCCCCTGCTGCCCCACCTCTGCTCCCAGCCCCCACTGGCCCACCCCTTCTGGGAAACCCCAATGGGGCTCACCTTTCAGGCAAAGTCCGGTGAGAATTGGGCCTGGTAGGTAAGAGAGAGAGAGACATTGACAGAAAGATGGAGAAAACAGGATTGACAGAAGAATTAAGGGGGGGGGGTTCTCCAAGCTTTTAAAAAAGGGAGGGACAAATGGTAATCCCTTGGGTGCTCCAAGAACTTTAACGGAAGGACCTAAGATTCAACTCCTTGCAGAGAAAGTGTCTCCAAACGCTTTCATGAATGAATCCAACTGCTCAATCCCTTTTGGAGGGGCCGTCTTCATGTGCTTTAATAGAACTACGTGCTCAATTGCTTTTAGCAAAGGGGTTCTCCAAACGCTTGACTGAAGTAATAAACGCACAATCCCTTCTAGATAGTCTCCCAAAAGCTTAATCCCTGAACTCCATGGCAGGGAGGTGGGGGCAACACCCCATCCCTGAAGGAACCCACCCCTGTCTGTCAAAAGTGAGCGCTCCGTGACGTCACGGCGTTCGCGGCGAGGGTTTGACATCACTGGCGGACCCGGGGGGCTGGTGACGTCGTAGGAAGACACCCGCGCCCGACCCCCCGCCTCGCCGAAACCTGGATAGACCTAGACGAAAGCGGTACAGCCAGGTGGCGTGGCGCCTACCTGTGGCCATCCTCCCGCTGGGCCTGGGTCTGGATGGTGGGCGCCATGGCGACAAGGCGAAGGAAGCCCGGACGGGGTCCTTGCTGAGCCGCGGCGAGACGCGGAGGGGTGTACCGACGTCGGCGGACGCCTAATCCGAGGGAGGGCTCGGTTTGGCGCCGCTCTCTGCCGGGGTAGGGTCGGAATGAGGTAGGCTGGTGAAGAGTTCCAGGGGAGACTCAGCTAAACGCGCAGGCAGCGCCAAAGACGGACTCGCAGCTCCGGCTCCACCAACTGCCGCCAAGACGCTGAGGACCCGACAGGTCGCCTCAGGCCGCGAGGCCTTCTGGGAAATAGAGTCCGGATTACACCCACACCCGGATTGGCAAACGGCTGGGTAAAGGGCGGAGCGAGG